GCACATCACCACAATGAGTTCTAGTGCAAACACCCTCCTCCTATATCCATTATTTGCTCCCTAGATGCCCTCAACTTCCCCTGGTATCCAAGGTAAGGTTCTACATATTTTATTGTCTCTATACATTTACTCCTTCTGTATTTCATAAATGGAAAAACATACTGAAAAACAAACAACAAACAAACAAAACCCTCCAAACAATGTGTGTGTGTGTGTATATATATATATACATATATATATATATTTTTTTTTTTTTAAGGAAGAAAGTATAGAACACCAGCAAAATTAAAATAAACCAGGGAGAAAACTTGTGTTGAGAAACAAGCAAGAAAAATTTAAACCTAGAACAAATCCAGAATGAGTCAAAGGGGAGATCAAATTACCAGGTATCATATTATACCATAGTTCCATCAGCCATAATCAAGTTTACAATAATCTCTGTCTGATAGCCAGGCTATTTGCATCTCCCGACTGTGGTCAGAGGGGATCTACCAAAGGCTTAATTCGAGTAGGTATTTTCCAGATGGATTTTGGGTTCCCATTGTTATCTGTAGTTTTCTACAAATTGGGTGTTCACAATTTAGGCTTGGATATCTTTCCCTCCATTGTATTTGGATTTTGTTATTTCCTGTCTTTGAATCACAAAACCGGGGGGAATTCCTCCAGGTGGATTTAGTTGACATCTTACTTATATGGCTACTTGTTTGAATACAAGCCTTTAAAAATTCAGATGTTATTTTTTTTGATAGCCAGGCACCATCTACTTTTTTCACCACACTTTTCTGTAGCACCCACATCTTTAGTAGTTTCTTCATGAAGGCAAGTATCAAGCAGTTAAATCTTCCTGGATTGTGGCTAGAATTAAGTAGGACGCCAGGATCCATTCACTTGTCCAAGGATTACATAGGATTCTGGTTTACTTTAGAGATCTCATTATCATTTTATGACAAAGAACATTATCAATCATTCCGTGTGGGGCATAAGGAAATTCAATTGATAGTGTCATTAATTTATCCAATGGCAAAGAATTTAACATACTGTTGAGAAAAGGAGGTTATGCAAGTATAGCCCAGCATCCAAATGCAATCCATGAGTTGTGGATTAGTGCAGATTGAATTCTTACATGATTGAGCTGTGTTTACATTGATCATGGGGGTTGGTGCTAGAGGAATATTTTCAGTATCATTCATATACAAGGGGAGATTCTTGCCTAGCAGATTAATACGTCTCATATTAAAGCAAGGAGGGCATTAATATAGTAAATATATGGTGGTTATGGGCCACCTTTCTCTGGATGCTTGCTAAGCCAGGGATGCTAACCAAGGTTCAACAACTACCAATTGCACAGGCTTGGGTGACCCTGATTTGTTTCTTCTCACACCAAGGTATTTCCGTCTTAAGTTCAAAGGCTACAGGTAATTTTTAGGTAATGTCCACTTCACTCAGTGGGGTTTCCATGTTGAGTCCTTCTGGTGTGGCCTATGAAGGATGCTATGAAGGTCCCTGAAATGACCGAGTCTAAGGTCATTGTAGTACATAGCACATGGCATAGTTCACCAAGGACTGGGTAAATTCTAATTCAAAAGTGTCTAACCAGGAACATATTACCTGGATTATTTTCCCCTTGCGGTTTCTATGATTATTGTTGAGTGTCCCTTCCCGATGTGAGGTTGCACCTCCCCATTTACCCACCAACAGAAGTATAACTGCCTCCTCTGAAATTTAAATGGTTCTCTCCCATGATCTTGACTTGACGTTCCAGTAAGATTCCCTTCGCAGTCCTATGGAGTGTCTGCTGATTTCATGTGATGGTGTCTCAATGTATGGCAGAGAGTGGATAATCTCCCTTTCCTCTGTGTTTGAAGGCGTGGTTCCAGCTGGTGTGTGGGTTTCTCTTTTGGGGTGGTTCTTAAGATGGGCATGATGTATGGTTCATGGATGGTAGGCAGACTTTCTACCTCTTTGTATGGGAATTGGTCCCTAAAATTCATTTGTTTGGTATTTTTCCTTATAGTAGTGGGCTAATGCAGTATTTGTCCTTTTGCAATTGACTAACTTCACTCAGCATAATTGTTTCCAGGTCATTCCATGTCATGTGGTGCTTCATGCTTTCATCACATTTTTTAGGGATGCATAGTATTCCATTGTGCGTATATACCATAGTTTCTTTATCTGTTCTTCTCCTTTTTGGAATTTGGGATGTTTCTAGTTTTCAAGAACAGATTTGATGCATTTAATACTGATGCCAGAAGACGCGAGGCGCTAGGCAGACATCAAGAACATTATTCATGAAGAAAACAAAAGTTTGTTTTAAAGACAGGAAAGAAAGGAAATATTAAAGTGGAAAACAGAATGACTCTGAAATATGCTCTTAATCATAGAGTAGCTAAAGGAAACAGAAGAAACAATGAAGTCAAAGAGTGGAATAGATAATTTCAAAAGGCAGCCCAAGGAGATAAGTCAAAGACTATGCCAAAATGTGCAAAGATAGAAAATCAAAAAGGAAGAATGCACTTAGCATATTTTAAACTGGAGGAACTTGAAAAAATTCAAGCCTTGAGCTGCAATCTTGAAAGATTCTATGGGCAAAATATTGAGTGATCTAGCAAGAATGCAAACAAAATGGAAAGGATGCACAGAGTCATGGTACTGAAAGGAACTAGTCAACATTCCACCATTTCAGGAGGTAGCATATGAATAAGAACCAATGGTGCTGAAGGAAGAAGTTCAAGCTGCACTGAAAGCATTAGGCAAAAACACAGCTGCAGCAATTAATGGAATACCAAGTGAAATGTTTCAACAATCTGATGAAGCACTGGAAGCACTTAATTCATCTATGCCAGGAAATTTGGAAGAGAACTACTTGGTCAACTGACTGGAAGAGATCCATATTTTTTTCCATTCCAAAGAAAGATGACCCAACAGAATGCTTCAACTATAGAACAATATCATTATTATCACACGCCAGTAAAATTTTGCTGCAGATCATCCAACAATAGTTGCAGCAGTACATTGACAGGGAGCTGCCAGAGAGAGGTTCAGGATAAATTCAGAAGAGGGCTTGGAACAAAGGCTCTCATTGGGAATGTTAGATGGATCTTGGATGAAAGCTGGGAATATCGGAAAGATGTTTACTTGTATTTTATTGATTATGAAAGGGCATTTGATTGAATATCATAACAAACTATGGATAATGGATAACCTTGAGCAAATTGGGAATTCCATAATACTTCAGTGTACTCATTTGGAACTTGCATATGGATCAAGAGGCAGTTGTGTGAACAGAACAATGGAATCATGCATGGCTTAAAAAAAGGAAAGGTGTGTGTCAGGGTTGAATCTTCTCACCATACATATTCAATCTGTATGCTGAGCAATCATCAGAGAACCCGGATTTTATGAAGAAGAATATGGAGTCAGGTATGGAGGAAGGCTTGTTAACAACCTGTGATTTGCAGTTGACACAACCTTGTTTGCAAAGTGAGGAGGACTTGAAGCATCTGCAGCCTGCAGTATGGATTACAACTCTGTATAAAGAAGACCACAATCCTCATAACTGGACCATAGGTAACATCACTATAAATGGAGGAAGGATTGAATTTGTCAAGGATTGTGTCTTTTTTGATCCACAATCAATGCTCATAGAAGCAGCAGTCAAGAGAGCAAAAGACACATTGCATTAGGTTAATCTGCTGCACAAGACCTTTTTAGAGTATTGAAAATCAAAATGTTACTTTGAGTGTTAAAGTGTGCCTGACACAAGCCATGATATATTCAGTTGCCTCATATGCATGTGAAAGTTGGACATTGAGTAAGGAAAACCCAAGAATCACACAACTTTCCTCTAGTTCCTAAATGCTTCCTCCCCTTCACTATCATGGTCCCAATTCTACCTTACAAATCTGGCTATAACAGAGGATGGACATTGGTACAGCTAGGAACTGGAAGCATAGGGAATCCAGGACAGATGATCCCTTCAGGATCAGTGGTGAGAGTGGCGATACCAGGAGGGTAAAGGGAAGGTGGGGTAGAAAGGGGGAACCCATCACAAGGATCTACATACTACCCCCTCTCTGGGGGATGCACAACAGAAAAGTGGGTGAAGGGAGACATTAGACAGTGTATGATATGATGAAATAATAATCATCAAGGGTTCATGAGGGAGGCAGGACAGGGAGAAAAGGGAAAAAAGAGAAGGGAAAAAAGAGGTGCTGATATCAAGGGCTCAAGAAGAAAGCAAATGTTTTGAGAATGATGATGGCAACAAATGTACAAATGTGCTTGACACAATGGATATGGGTGTATGGATTGTGATAAGAGTTGTACCAGCCCCCAATAAAATGATTTTAAAAAGAGAAAGTTGGATTGGCAGAGGGGTTGCAACAATGGGCTCAAGCATGGCTATAATTATTAAGCAAGGGCATGGCGTGGCAGAATTTTCATCTGTTGTAATAACATTTCTATTTCAGAAATGACTGTATGGTACCCTACAACGACTGCATCTATACAATATAAACAGATACACAATTAGCCAAGATGGGCCTTTAAGTTTCTATAGACCAAATGAAAAAGAGACATATGCCCTAGCTGGATGTAAAATAATCAATATAGTCTTTTCATATTTTCAACAGCAACCATGGTAATGCAGCGATCCTCTTTGGGGTGATCACCTCTCTCCACACTGATGATTGTAACAATAGGATTGGCTGCATTGCGCCACAAATTGACTGCCTTCATTGTATTTGTTTGCTTTTAACATGCTGCCACTGTTGGATAGCAACTGAAATACTTGCACGGATGTTATAAGGAGTAGTGCTTTTCTAGAAATAAGGATCTAGTGTTGAATTTAGTCAACGTCACTTTAATTAAGACCAGATACATATTGCCCTTGAGATGGTAATACTCATATCACTAGACTCTTCTGACTACTGGTACAAGGTTAGAAGTGACAATAAACTAGAGAGAAGTTGGCTTCTGTTATTCTAAATCAAATACCAAACCTGTTGCTGCTGAGTTGATCCTGACGCATGAAGACCCAATGACAGGGTAGGTCACCACCAGCGGGTTTCCAAGGTCATAAATCTTTACAGCAACAAGACTCACATGTTTCTTCCATGGCGCAGTTGGTGCATTTGAACCACTGACCTTCTGGTTAGTAGCTGAGAGCTCAACTATTGCTTCATCAGAGCCTCTTGCTCTCACTCTAAGAATCTGAAAAGGTTCATATACAGAACATTTTACACAGAACTTCAGTGGTCAGTGAAGCCCCTGAAACCATCCATGTACGATCCCCAAATCTCTTTAGCTTACTAGGTTTCCTGTAATAGGTAGAGGCTCAGGTTCATACCCTACTAATCTGTATAATTTATCCCTAAACATCTCATCAGAATGAACGGCTTCTAGTAGGTCTTCAGATACTTTGCAAATAAGTAATATTCCAGGAACTGGCATTGGTGCCCTCATCTGTTGGGATCTCTATAGCATGAGGAACCACCCAGGCACGTGCTACTCTAATCTCTGGCATCTCAAGTGGGTGATTGCTCTCCATTTCTTGCTTCTTATCTGTATGTTCAGAAGAGCGGGATTCCAAGAAACGTGGCAAGGCTGGAGGGACAGCGCCGTGAGTGCTAGGTAGAGGTGAACATGGGAAAGGTTGTCCCCTTGTCATGACCTTCAAGCACCAACAATCCCAAGTGGATGGATCATCCAGGGCAATTGTGAGCCTGCCCTTGCTTTGGGTTTTAGAATATTATTATTAGGTACTAGATACCACAAATATAATAATTATCAATAATAATACTTAAGTATTCAAAGTAACCCTACCATTACTGTTATTTTTTTTATTCTGACCAATTTCATTAACAAATTTAGCCCCCCCCCCATGAGATTGATTTTATAAACCACTAGTGGATGATGACTTTTTAAAAAATACTGCCCACCCCTCAGGATTATTTTAAACTCATAAAGAATTCTACTCTTCCCAAACAACAATAAAATATTTTCTATTCATATAGAATTAAAATGACATTTAGAGCGGCGATTTCATACAACTCTATAATGGGTTTCAGAACTAACAAGTGATGAAACTTAGAGCCATAACCAGTCGTGTGATTCTAAACGGAGGGCTATTTCCATTGGACCATGCTGAATTCATCATCTGAGGTGTGCCTGTCTTACCTCTCCAAGAGGATTGTAAGCTCAGTGCTTGATAAATGCTGGATAAGTAGAACGGAATAAGTCATGTCCTTGATAAATGCTGAATAAATAGAATGGAATCATAAGTCATGTCCTGGTTTTGATACTGTGTTCGTGTCAGAACCCTAGACAGTGCTTTACGAGCACAGCTTCTTCCTCCATGATGAGCCATTGGTGCATGCGTTGGGCTTTAGTCAGTGTCCTGCTTGCACTTGAACTTTGCTCAAACCTCAAAGACACACAGTTACAGAAAGGCCAACAAAAGCACAAGACAGGGAAGCCCTTGGTTTTGTGAATTTTCCATCTGTTTCTCTAAAGCTGCACTGCTTTCTACTAGACTCTGAGTGTCTTACAATGGTAAACTATCAAAAGCATGTCCAAATTTCAGCTACCTTGGACCTTTAGAGCCATATACGATGTCCTTGGGGAAATGGAAACATACACTTTCCCTAATGTATAGGCATGTGTAATGAGAGGCACAGAAAGAACAGCTTAGACTTTGCACTAAACAGCTACTGATAAATGGTCTATTGAACCAATGATTGCATAAACAAAAAAGGAACCAGATTGTGAATACATGTATGCATATGTAGAAAAGTGGGGCCTATTGGGTTTGTTTTACATGTCCTGGGAAGGGAAGATGTGACATAAATCAAGTACTATGGATTTTGGGAAAGGAGAGATGGGGAAATAAGAAGAAGAGGAAAACAGGATGAGAGAGATACATCTGAAGGAAGGCCTGGAAGCTCCATTACAATCTTTGTTAGCTTTAGCACTGTAGTAGCTTACCTGTTACTCTGTATACTTTGTTGGGGCCAAAGTACATGTTTCATACGATAGAAAGTCTCTTTGTTTGCTTATGCTTCCGGACCCTGCTTTAAAAAGCCAGTATGGTCACCTCAGTGTATTTCATTCGGTAAATATACTTTTGAGGCAAAGTAAAGGAAGCAAAGGAGCAATATCATGGAAGTCTCCTAATCTGGATCATGAGCAAAAAATTTATAGAAAGGGGAAGATCCCATAATCTCAAGTCAAATAGAGCTTCCTTGGCAATTTATTAATATGTGGTGTTGCAATGACTGGCTCACCTTTCAACCTCATGTTTGGCAAGGCTTTGGGGAAAACAACATTCTTTCCAGAAGTCAGGTCAGAAAGCTCTCTATACTATGATTTCACCATCCCGCGCCTGTCATGTCAAATACAACGAAGGTCCTTGCCCCAAGTGAATTCATTAGCAGATATCTCTTTGCTGTCCTGGGAATTGTGTTCCTTCACATATTCCTGAATGATCACTTCATGCTAAAACAAGCTTAATCTTTCAAACGAATAGATGGTAATGACATTGAGGTCAGTGGTTCTGAGGAACAGAGGGACTAGCAGCCCCTGTGCACTAGAGAAGCATTAAGAAAACAGCAATACATGCTTATTTTTGACTATTCATAAATATAAAAGAGGATACAGAAAACTTAAAATTACCTGTTGTTCCACAGGTGATATTTTTCTACTTATGTGGGCAACTGAAAAAGTATTGCTATGACACCATAGAAACTTTTATTAAACAAGAACATCAATAATAATAATAATAATAAATATTAGAGCAGCCTCTGCTGCCAGAATACCTTGGATTTGAAAATGGCTCTGTCACTGGCTATGCAAGGTACCATATATACTCGTGATTAAGGCAAGTTTCTCAGCACATTTTAATGCAGTTTTGGGGTAAAATTAGGTGCCTTGGCTAATATTCAGGTTGGCTTATACTCAAGTATATATGATATATAACATTTCTATGCCTCATGAATGAAAATGGGATGTATTCATTTTAACCCATAGGAACAAATAAGTCAATATAGGTGACAAACAAAACCAGTTGGCATATAGCAGGCATCCAATAAGCGTTAACTATTATTAACCTACCTATTACTGTTACGTCCATTTTTATGCATAGTAACCCTATGTAGAACTTCTGAGACTGTGATTCGTTATGGGAGCAAAGAACCTCATCTTTCTTCTGCACAGTGGTTGGTTGGTGGGTTTGAACTTCTGACCTTATGGTTAACAGCCCGATCAATGCCTAACTCACAATGCCACTAGGGTTTCTTAGCTATTAATTTATAAGAGATATTAACTTGTTACATTCAAATTTTTATTGAGTAGTTTCTCTCTTCATTTTAATGTAGATCAGTGATTTCAAGGCATGTTAGAACTGAAATGACCTTTAATTTTACAGATATGTACCTAGGGCCCAGGGGTTTAACCTTACCAAGATGACACAACTGCTTAGCTACATAACTAGAGACCAGATTCCCAGCCACTCTCGCTATATCATATTCTATTTTCTGTATCAGGCTGCCGAGACAGTCCAGTTACAGAAATGATAACTTTGCAACTGGACTCGCTCCCCCAACGATTCCATTGTTACCATAAAAACACTCAAATGATTTCCTTCCTTTTTTCATTCATTCATTTGTCCATCTTTTAGGTAGCAAAATAGGGATAGAGGGGGTGGTCCCTCCCATGCCTGCATAACGCACCCTACAGGAGGTTTGGAAATGAATCAGGTGAGTATTAAACACCTATAAAGACATAACTGGGTGTGCTCCAATTTAATCCCCCCAAGCCAGGTGGGCAGTACACCTGGGCGGCCCAAAGTAGGCCCAGATGGCCTTGATTCAGCTAATGGGGTTGGCCAATACCTTCCACCACGCTTCCCCTGCTGGAGGTTTAAGTTACCTTGGCCAAGGGAAGGTGGTCTCTTTTCTCTTTTTCTTCCACTTCTGCACTTGGCCGCTCCTCTCTGGCCGCAGGTCACAGCGCATAGGCGTGCAGTCTCACAAGGTTGCCCGTGTTCAGTGGTGAGCCCCAGAGCGGCTTATGCACGGTTTGCCACGCTTCTGTGAAATAGAGCGTACTCTGGTGAGACTGTAAACCTGAAACTTCTTCCGTCCTTTATAAAAACCCACTTGGATCACAAACCAGGCTTTGGCCTGAATTCTTTCTCATGCGATGCCAAGAACCGAGGTATTACCCTCCTGAGAAACCTAACACTTCTGCTGAATCTCTCACTCCCAATGCACTTGAGTCATGCAATCCAGGAAAGGGTACAAAGAAGTAAACCGCCGTCTTTGTCCTTAAATAATGGAAACTGGAACAATAGATGCATTGACAAAATCATAAGACAATACAATCAGTTACATAAAGCAAAAAAAATTAGAGGTCATTAGGCATTGTTTCATAGTGAGTGTGAATGGGTAGCCCCATAAGCAACTTTATGAAAAGGATACAAAATCTGTGAATGATTAAAAGGGAGGAAACTACACGAGGAAAAGAGAAACAGAGAGTGGTTTGGAGGTTCAAAAACACAAATAAATAAATAACAGCTGGCTAGACTAATCAAAAGGTGATCAAGGATTAAGCGGCGTTAGACCTCCGTCCGCCCTGAAATAGAAACAAGTAATGGAATGACAGTGCATGCCTAGCTGCTCTCTTCCACAAGCACTCACTTCCCAACTATAAATATGTAAGCATGACATTTGATGTTAGGGAAAAAGTGAAATGAAAAGATAATGGAATTTTCCACAAATTTTTGTAGCCCCCCC